ATGGGGGCAAGATAGGAGGGTAATGGGGGTGTGATGGGAGCGTGATGGGAGCGTGATGGGGGTGTGATGGGGGCGTGATTGAAGCGTGATGGGGGTGTGATCTGAGCATGATTGGAGCGTGATCTGAGCGTGATTGGAGCATGATGGGGGCGTGATGGGAGGGTGATGGGGGCGTGATGGGAACATGATTGGAGCGTGATGGGGGCGTGATGGGAACATGATTGGAGCGTGATGGGGGCGTGATGGGAACGTGATTGGAGCGTGATGAGGGCGTGATGGGAGTGTGATGGGGGCATGATAGGAGCGTGATGGGAGCGTGATGGGAGGGTGATGGGAGCGTGATGGGAGCTGATGGGAGCTGAAGGGAGCATAATAGGAACAAGAAAAAAAGTGAGGCGAGGAAGAAGGAAAGAGCAAAGTTGACCTCTTCTTCATATGTCTTTGTCGATAGTCCCATTATGATGTTAAAATGATGTGTTATCCACATGGAACAGGAAGATGGTCAAAATAATTTTTGCCATTATTAAGGGAAGAATTTGATAGTGGACCACTGTGCCATTGTTAAAAAATGAGACTGACCTCAAATACATACTATGGCTTGAGATATTAGTGGTAGCAGGCTGTGTGTACAATATAGAAATAACTGAGCCAGGTGTGATGCATGCCTTGGGAGGTGGAGGCAAGAGGAGCGGGAGGTCTGGGCCAGCCTCCACTCAGTAGCGAGTGTAAAGCCAGTCTGAGCTACACAGGGCTCATTTGGGGTAAGTACATTCGCTTTGAAAGCATGAGGACCTCAGTTTTGATCCCAGCAACTATGTAAAAGGCTGAGTGTGACTGAGTCCACGGACCTGTAACCCCAGTGCGGAGACAGGAGGATCACTGGCACTTGCTAACTACCAGCCTAGCTCTCCAGGTTCAGTGAGAGAACCGTGGACAGTGATTGAGCAGGATTCCCCATGTCCTCCTTTAGCCTCTACTAACAAGCACACAAACGTATAACTTTTGAATACACACACATTAATTATATGTTATAAATTATATAATTATATATTGAGGGTTAATGTTCAAATGCTATTGCTGATAAGATATAATACCTTAGCTAAGCATAGTGACACATTCCCTTAATGGCACAGCTCGGGAAGTAGAGGCAGGTGAATCTCAATGAGTTCAAAACCATAGTGAGTTCCAGGACAGCCAGGACTACACAGTGAGACCCTGTCTCAAAATAACAACAGCAAGATGTAATACCTTGATGTGGGAGATTGTCACCTTAATTTCAGCAGAAGTTTTTAAATCATGGGTCTTGAATCTCAGAGAAGGAGCTGCCTTTCCACAGCCTTCCACGTCAGAACCACTAAGGGTTGTGTGTATCATGCGGAACAAAGGGTCCTTGTATTCGGGAGTGCGGCTGCAATGGCTCACTCATCCTTCATCACCTTAGCTTTTCCCTTCCTTCTGGAGATGAGGGAAAGATTAGTTGAGCTCCCTGGAAAAAAGCATTAGGTAAATACAGGACGTTGCCGAGCTATTGTTCCTATTCTTAACAACACTAACAGCTGGTGTGTGTGTGTGCCTCCAAGGGGTTCGAGTGAACATGTAGGCCAGGGGTCTATAGTACTCCAACTCTTGATCTCTCAGCCAGATGAATCTAGGGGTCCCTGTGGCCTGAGTCCTAGGGGGCATGGAGGCTGCTGGGGCTTAGGAAAATGGAGCCGAAAGAGGGTAACTGTCTTCGGAAGGAAGAGCCTACCTCCTTCTAGACAATAACGAACTGGGCCAATGACTGGCCATAGAAGGCATTGCATGTGTCTGCCTAGGGATCAAAGCCATGGGGATGAAGTCTTCATGGAGGTATAGGTACCTAGAGCCCACCTGCCCACCTGCCCACCTGCCCACCTGCCCACCTGCCCACCTGCCCACCTGCCAGGGTGGGGTTCCTGTCTTTCTTTCTGTTTCTCCACACCGCTTATATTTTGTAGTAAAAATAATTACGCATCCCATTTAAAAGTACATTTGCGTGAGGAATTTAACAGGGTAGAAATGATTCTCCACAGTTCCTATCCAACTCATGTTCACTGAGCTTATGCCTTGGCTGTGAAGTCTTGTACCAGCACACACGGAGGAAATGCCAGGGCACAGAATGACCCGTGAGTAAGTTAAGATGTGCAGGTCACGATGGCACAGATGGAAAGGGACTTGAGAGGTTCTGGTGAAGAGGAACCAAAGTGGGACAGGGGTCAGACAGAGTCATGAATCAAGGCCGGGCCTTGAAGGGTCAGGGAATCTGATCAAGGAGATACTGACATTCCCAGAGAATGAACCAATCCCACAAATGGAGAAACATGGGACATGTGTGGCCAAACCGAGTAGTTACTTCAGAATATGGGAGAAATGTAGGGTTGCTAATGTGTGTGGGAAATGAGAGACACTCCCCCAACCTAGACCCCTGTTTCTCACGCATGACAGTACAAGCCTTGGGAAGTTTCTAGATGAATGAAAGCCAAGACAAAACTTGTCTAGGGCCCGCCGGTGAGTTACTCGGAAATAGAGATTCGGATGGACAGCACTTGCAAGGCTTCTGGCCTTTGTACTGACCAGACAGCTGAGTGTGTGGGAAAGTGCCCGGGGCCAGGGGCAGGTGGCTTGCTTCTCTGGGAAAGCCCGGAGCTGGAGGTTCCAAGCATTGGGCGTCCTTCTGGACTGTTGGCTTGGTCTTCTTCAGCCAAATCTTCCCATGGAAGCTGGGTGGCGGATGAGCCTGGTGACTGGACTGAAGCTGTTGGAAACTCCGATGGGTTGGGCTGGGAATGGCAGAGTGTGGGATCGCTGCAATAAAATGCAGGGAAAGGAGCCCTTGCAGTGTCCTGGGGTGTGAGGCACAGGGCGTGGGGCCCTGCATTCCCGGGTGGCTAAGACGCCGTCAGTGTTGATGATTATCATTATTATTCCTGCTCCGGTTTCTTGGAACTTTCATCCTGCAGGACCCTGCCTGGCTGTCAAGCGTCATCAGCTAGCACGGGGTGGGGCAGGTGGCTCCCGGCAGCCAGGGAACACAACATGACTAGGGTTTCTAGCAGTTCTGAGATCCTTTGTAACCATGGACACAAGGGCAGAGTTTCTCCTGGGGAAACTGAGACACACGGGCAAGGAATAAGTCGGTCAAGGTCCTTCAGCAGAGACCTCTTCCTCCCTTCCCTTGTCCTTCATAAGGCCAGGTGTATTCTCTCCAAGCTGGAGCTGATCTTGTAGGGCTGGAGGAGAGTCAGGAAAGGTGTGGATTCCAGAAGAGAGAACTGGGCTGGGGCCAGGACATCAGAGCTGTTACCCTCTGTGCCAGGTGCTGCGGGCATCATGAGGTCAGGCTCCTGGTTTCAGGTCTCTCTGGAAGGTTCTGCCATATGGGTGGATCTTCTGCAAGCCCCCAAGGGAAGGCAAGGCTGGGGACGTGCAGAATGCCCAGCTCTGTCCATCAGAGGCCAGATTCAGCATCCTGGGATAGGAAGAGCCTAGATCTCATAAAGATGGGCCAGGCCCTGGAGCAAAGGGCCAGACAAAGGATCATAGACTGAGAAAGGTGCGTGTGTGTCCGCGTGTGTTGTGTGAGTCTGCGTGTGTTGTGTGCACATTTGTTAACACCAGCCCACAGCGGTGACGAGTCTCTGCTTGCTGAGATGAGATGAAAGCGAGAAGGGCTGGAAGGGAATGTGCACGGCAGGCTGATGAGTAGGTACGGGGTTGAGTGGAATCCTACAAAACACGTGGATTCCGGCCCACTGGGTGCCCACTGGGGAAGGAAGGGAGTGGTTCAGTGGCCTGTAGACTGGAGCCCTGTCTCCTTTCTCCATTTACTCATGCCACTTCAAGAGCAGCGGCCCCTGCAAACCCCTTCTGGCTTAAAGGGAGAAAGTGGGTCAATGAGTAGGCTACGGAAGCTGGAGGACGGAAGGTGATAAACAGTGCTCCTGCAGCCTCCACCATCGCTCCCAGGACCCACATCTCCCAGAGCCATTGCCTGCATGTGTTCCTGAAGCTAGCTTCTGTTACCCAGCTACCGTGAGCAAGGCAGGCTACTTGGCTCTGTAGCGCAATACATGAGATACGCTTTCTGCTCTCAGGAGGCTCTCTAGATGGAGAAAGACAGCTCTTTCTCTTTGAAGAACTCCTGAGTTGAGCCCGGAGACATCTCCTTCCTCCCTGGCAGTGGCTGTCCCAGCTCGACCTCTGCCACCAGTCTGCTAATTCTCTGGAGTTTCACACACAGAAAAGCAAGTTTCACTAGAACTCCTGCTGGTGTCTTGACACCCACCCAGGCAAAACATCCATCCTTCAGCTACGAAAGTCATCCCTTGAGCGTCCTACCATGTCGGACCGCCATAAGACTCACTGTGATGCCACCATATCAAACGCACCCCTTTGCCTATAAGACCTCTACCCGCTTGATTTCTCCTACTGGTGATCCAAAAAACCCACAACAGTTTCCTGAAGTTAATTAGATACAATATGAGCTTCTGGGGGTTTTCAGGGCTCTGCCACAAGTTTTCATTCTTACTGCCATTAGTGTCCCTTCAGGTCCCCAATAGTGTCCCTTCCCATTCCCAATAGTGTCTCTTCCCTCCCATTCCCAATAGTGTCCCTTCAGATCCCCAATAGTGTCCCTTCAGGTCTCCAATAGTGTCCCTTCCCATTCCCAATAGTGTCTCTTCCCTCCCATTCCCAATAGTGTCCCTTCAGGTCCCCAATAGTGTCCCTTCCCATTCCCAATAGTGTCTCTTCCCTCCCATTCCCAATAGTGTCCCTTCAGATCCCCAATAGTGTCCCTTCCCATCCACAGCACACAAATATCAGTAACATAACTGTCAACATCTGAACACCACCAGAAACTTTTCCAAGGGACTCCTTTCCATAGCTACAGCCAATTCATTTGACAAATATGTAAGAACAGAGGCTATGACCAGGTCCTATGATAGTCACTAAAGTAACTCTTTTAATGTTGGGGGAAGATGGGCCTCCCGCTATGGAGTGGGGGCCATGCTTGACCAGGGAGGATGGATACTGATGAAGACAACGCAGTGAAGAGCCCACCAGAGCGGTGCCCCTGGCTTCTCCAAGTCCTGCTGTGCTCCCACCATGGTCCTACAGAGCTTAGCTTTCCCTCCTCATCTCTTCATCTCACAGAGAGGGCCTTGCTGGGAGGAATGCTAACGAGATGTTCACATAGCACGATCCTGAAGGCACCACGTTGTTCTCCATGCCTGAAGTCAGCACCCTACAGGACACAGGGGCAGAAATTAGACTCTAAAATTTCTGTGTTAAAAAACAAGTCCTTACTGGGCAGTGGTGGTGCACACTTTTAATCCCAGCACTCGGGAGGCAGAGGCAGGAGGATCTCTGATTTTGAGGCCAGCCTGGTCTACAGAGCTAGTGCCAGGTCAGCCAGGACTACATAGAGAAACACTGTCTTGAAAAACCAACCAACCAAACAAACAAAACACAAAAAACAAAACAAAAAAACAAGCCCTTCGAGGCTGGACTTGGATAGTAAAATGCTTGCCACACAAACATGAGGACCTGAATTCAATCTCCAGCATCTATGTAAAAAACCACGTGTGAAGGCCCACATGGTAATCCTAGCACAGGGGAGGCACGGCCCAGTGGCTGTCTGAGGTTTACTGGTCAGCCAGTCCTGCCAAGTCCGCGAGTTCTAGGTTCAGTGAGAGACCCTGTTTCAAACTCCCAAGATGGCGAGTGACTGAGGGAGACACAATGTGGATGTCTGGCATTGATACACATGTGTGCCCATGCACATGCTCACCTTGCCCACACACCCTTCACACAACGGAAGTTATGAAGGCCCTTACCATTTCACCCAGTTAGGAAATAACAGCACCCAGGCCCTGACCTAGAGGGCAGCCATCTTGTGGGGAAAGAAACCCCCTCTCCTTAGCTCTAGCTACAATGGTAGGTGGCTCCCCTGTGTGCGATGTGAGACTTGCCCTTGAAGGAAGACTCTAACTCCTCCTGTGGTTGTTTGACGTGGGGTGGGTGTTTAACCACGATAAGCAGAAGAAAAGTCTTCCAACTGTCTCACCAAGGCAAGATGCTACGAATTCCTCCTTCTTGCTTATCTGCCCCAGACAACACGGCAAATTATGAAACGTTCAATATTCTCTGCTCTGAAGGCACATAAGCAACTCTAAACCAACATAAGCAAGAACCCTTTGGAGCTGTTCGCTCTCATTTCCTTAAGTATCAACATCCAAATGGATCATCTTGAAAAGACATGATAATTGGGAAGCAGATGGGAGCCAGAACATGCTGGCCTAGTCTCCTGGTACTCTTTTAGGGGCCTCTTATAATTGGGTCTCTCCCCGCAACTTTGTGGCACTGTCTCCAAGGGGTAGAATTCCTGGTCATGAAACTGTGATAGCTCCCAAGAATGCCAGGGAAGAAGGTGCTGTGCCCGTGAAAGCCAGCGGGAAGGCAGCGGTGAAAGTGTTTGGGGCTGGACAGTGAAACAGGGTGGAAAATCACATGGTCAAAGTGCTGCCCTAAGTGTGGAGTTTCCCAAATCACAGGGCAGGTCACACCATAGGGGGATGAGACTTGCTGGGTGGCAGTGGCGCGTGCCTTTAATCCCAGCACTCGGAAAGCAGAGGCAGGCAGAGCTCTGTGAGTTCAAGGGCAGCCTGGTCTACTGAGTGAGTTCCAGGCTACACCAAAAAATCCTTTCTCTAAAAAGTTCCTCAAAAGGGGCTGGAAGATAATAGTCCCTTCCTTTCCCATCTCCCTTATTTTTTCCCAGTCTTCCTTCCTCTCATTTCCTTCTTCCTTCCTTTCTTCTTTACTTTTTCCTCCCTTTCTTCTTTCTTCACCCTTCCCTCTTTGCCTCCCTCCATCCCTGCCTTCTTTCCTTCCTCCTTCTCTCCATTCCTTCCTCTCTTCCTTCTTCCCTCTTTTCCTCCCTCTCTTCCCTTCTTCCTCTTCCCCCTTTCCATCCCAAGCCCCTTTCCTTTCTGTTTCCCTGTGGAACCTCGCAGTGAGTCCCCACATCAGGAGGCCTCTTTAGTTCACTGTCACTTACCCCCTTTTCCTATTCATTCTACAGTGCCTCAACTCAACTTCATGTCCTTTATGCCACTGTCCCCCTCTTGTCAAGCCCTGGTTGAGTTCTCCTTTCTCTGAATTCTAATTCCATTGCATAAGCTGTGTTATTTGATACATTTGACTATACCACACCTGATATTGTCCAGCTGCATAACTTGCCTGAGTCTTGGTTCCCCAGGCAGGGCGTAAATGTGAGAGCATTTCAGAGTCTCTTAGAGCACAGCACAGGGACGAGTCACTGTAGGACTTGATGGAGCTTCTTCTTTTCTTTTCTGTTGCTTCTCATTAAACATGGGAGGATGTGCACTGAGAGGCAGCCACTGGAGCAGCCAAGGCCCACAGCTTGTTTGGGTGGAGAAACCTATTATACAACATCAATTAAATTCCTGATAGACAGAATCCCTGCCTTTAGATGCACCATGCAGAGCCCTGGGGGCAGTCTGGAGGTTGGAGGACATCTTTTGCAATACCGTGCAGTTCAATTACCTATGGGGAAATCTGCGGTCCAAGTGGTTGCGAATAGCAGTGTGCACCTTAGGAAGAAGCCGGGAATCCAAGGAATGTGGGAAATCCCTCTGTAGGATTGTCACCTGTCGACATGGGAGAACTCACCTAGACTAAAGACCAATGTAAACGGTAAACTGGAGGTACGGTAAGGAAGGAGCAGGGCAGACAAGGCTCTTTGTAGAGAGGACTGACTCCAGACTCATATCTCAGCCCAAGAGATTGAACTTGAAGAGGAAGTCCTTTCCCTCCTCCTCCTCCTCCTCCTTCTTTTGAGACAGACTCTCATGAGTTCTGCTCCTCCTGCATCCACTTCCTAAGTGCTGGGATTACAGGCAGGAACCACCGCACTCAGCTGATATCCTCCTGGGGATCAAACCCATGGCTTTGTGTATGTAGACAGGCACTCTGCCAAGTGAACTACATCCCAGCCCAGTGCCTTCTCTTCTTAACTGACATGCTGTCTCATCTCCTTTACCTCATCTCTGGTTAGAAAGGAAAGAGTAGCTCACCCAAGGCATTCTACTGGTGGGAAAATGGAGTCGGAGTACCACGTCACTGGTCCATGGCACACTGGTGGTCAAGGAATAGCTCCAGTCCTTGGCAGCATTTATTTACGGCTGCTAAAGAATACCAAAGACAAAAGAGAAAACCCTGTTCTTCTCAAGTAGCTTACAATCCAGGGAGGGACTATAAGGATCCCTTAGAATTCAGGCAGTTTTTACCTGAGTAAACTACAGAGGAAGTGGCCCAAAGCCCCCTAGGAGAAGGATGGAAGGTTTCCCAGAGGAGGCAGCGTTTGAGTTGAAATGTAAAGGGTGAGGTCTCTGCCAGGGAAACAAGTAAGGATGTGGTGTTCCAGGCGGAAGGCGTGATATGGGAAAAGCTTAGAGCATGGCCAGTTGTAGACGCTGAAGATATTCAACAAGTACACCTCGGGGAGTCAGGGACAGTGAAGCTGTCCCAGAACATCTCGCAAAACAGTTCAGGTTTCTGTGGAGAGTGGGATGTATTTTCTGTGCCTGCGCTAGTCAATCACCACAGACCCGGTAGTGGACGCAGCACCCATGTGTTGCCTTCCGATCTGGAGGCCAGAAGTCTCACTGGGCTGAGGCGGACAGCATTGTGTCAGAAATGGGGAGAAATGGGTCCTAGCTTGCCTACTTGTGCTTTTCAGGGCGGCCCACATTCCTCAGCTCACAGCCTTGTCCATGCCACAGTCAGATCACGTGGTTTCGATCCTGCTTCCCTGACTTCCCTAACTATATCTCAGAGTCCAACACTTTGTCTCAATCCTCTAAGAACTATTACAGTGCTGGGCCCATAAGAATCCAGTATAATCTCCACACCCCTTACGGGAATCACCTTGAAAAGCCCTCTTGCAATGTAGGGTAACATATTTGCAGGTTCAGAGAAGGAGATGTGGATCTTTTGGGGGACCACTCTTCTACTCATGACAGGAGCCGGTGAAGAAATCTGGGAGGAGCTTGGGGTGCCAGGCAGTACAGCACTGTGGCTAAGAGACCTGGTGTGGGGACTGGAGAGATGGCCCAGTGGTTTGCTCTTGCAGAGGACCGGCGTTCAATTCTGAGCACCCATACGGTAAATCACCAGCTATAATTCCAGGTCCAGGGAATCTGCCACCCTCTTCTGGGCACCAGGTATGTGTATGGTGCATATACATACATGGACTCTTAGGGAAAGAAAATCACAGTTGCGGGCTCTGGCTACCCAGTTCACTCTTGCCTCTGCTGTGTAAGAACAATGAGACCTATGTCATTTCCTACTTGTGGTCTCTATACCTTAGTTTTCTTGTCTGTAAAAGAGAGGTACCTACCTTTGCCTTAGTTATTTTGATTATATGGGGGTAGCAGTGATTAGACTTAGGACAGGAGGAACCATTCAGTGAACTGGAAATACCTTCTGTGGGGAGGTGTTTCGAGATAGGGTTTCTCTGTATAGCCCTGGCTGTTCTGGAACTCGCTCTGTAAACCAGGCTGGCCTCGAACTCACAGAGATTCACCTGTCTCTGCCTCCTGAGTGCTGGGATTACCAACATGAGCTGCCACTATCATATATGATACTTGTTTAGTTAATATTTATTTATTTAATCCCTCCCGAGATTTCTGCAACACTATTTAACTTGACATTCAGCCACTTGAAGACTCGGTAATGTCCCAGCCAGGTACCCAGTGTGATCACATACCTGACTGATTTGGGAGTGACCTGCTCTGGGTTCCTAGAAGCCATTACACATATATGAGCATCTCTGGTCCCCATTTTCTAAGGAACCAAGAAGCCCCTTGTTCTCTTTCTCTTATTGATTTCCTCTCTAAGTACCACCATGGATGCAAATCATCTGGATTTCAGATAAACGAGTAATTTTAATGTAAGTATATTCCAAATATTACTATCTGTTCAAAAGAGTGCTTTATTAACCAGTTATTTTATTAACCAGAACATTCCATTCCCTAGCATCACCAAGTAACATTTCACTTTGTTCTCTGGTACAGTTTACAAGGTAAATTGATATTCAATTCCAGAAAGTTCTAGTGTCTTTTATAAATAGTTCTATGTGGTAACCAGAGGAAGGAAGGCAGATGATGGTTCTGGGTGGATGGTGGTCAGAAGAGTGGGTCCCTCCTGCCTCACGACACAGCCCCTTCTGCGGCCCAGCTCTGTGTTTCCTCCTTCACTAACGCGGTGCTGCAGTCTTGTTCCCCGGGATCTAAAGAGCCCTCAGGATAGTCAGTCTGTTGACATACATTGAGGTTGCTGCCCCGCTTTCTTTTGAAAACAGGGGCTAAATGGACATGGTGGCACACACGTGTAACCCCACAACTGGGAGGCTGAGGCAGAAGGATTTCATGTTGGAACCCAACCTGAACCGCTCGGAAATTGAATCAGCCAATCCATCTGCATGCTGTACAAAGCCTGTTCTATGTTGCAGTCTTACAACCAATGGGATAGGCACTGGATTGGTGAATATGATCTGTTGTTACCAGCTGTGGTTTGACTCTACAAGGTTGGTCTCTCTACTGACAAGAAAGTTTGCTCAAAGCCTTCTCCCCAAAGATCCATTACAGATGCCTCATCTAGTCTAGCATCCCCCTCCCCTGCTCATCCATCACCCCCAACTCCTCCTCTAAATTTCTTTCCATGGTCTGTGGATTAGTTGTCTTACCCTCCCCCCAATCTTTTCTCTCTTTCTCCCCCTCCCTCACACCCCAGAGTCTCTCTGTGTAGCTCCACCTGCCCTGGAACTCACAGTGTAAAGCAGGTTAGTCTTGAATTCATAGGGATTCGCCGGCCTTTCTCTGCCACTCAAGTGCTAGGACTAAAGGGGGTGCACCGCCATGCCTGGCTAGGTTATCATCATGATTGAAGGTAAAGGCTGGGGGCTGTGCCCCCCAGACCTCTCCCTGCAGCCCTCCAACCTCCAATCTCCGGAGCACTTCTCAGCTCTCCACTCCACATATGTCCTGGTCTTGTCCGACTGTCCTGACTAGTGAGCTGAGGCAGCCTTCGGTTTTCCCACCGAAGCTGTCCAAGCATCTGTGTTGGTGCCTACATTTCCACACTCTTCCAAGTATCCTTTCAGAGACTAAACAAGCAAAATACTCTAACGGCTCATGAGATCCTTTATTTTCTTTAAGATTTCCTTTTATTTGTGAGTATGCTGGAGCATGTGCATGTATGTGTGTATGCCACATGAGTGCCTGATATCCCTGGAGACCAGAAGAGGGTGTCAGAACTCATGGAACTGGAATTAGCAGGAGGCTGTGAGTTGCTGTGGCTGGGGGTGGGGAGTGGGAGGGTGGGAGGTGGGTGGGGAACCAAATCCTAGTTCTCCGAAAAATCAGTCAGTGCTCTGAGTGGCTGAGCCAGTCCCCACTCCAGTCTCCTCCAGCCAGCCCTCCGCCCCCCTGCCCCCATGAAATCTTAAAAGAAATCCCGGGCATTATTCCTGAGAAATAAACAAAGCCACCTTACCAAAGGTAGTAGGCCTTGAGGGCTAGTGAGGGATTCCAGATGCATCCTCAGGTACGAGGACAATTGTATCCTCAAACCTTATTTACTTTCTAGGAAAGGTGGCCCCAAGGGGCTGGGGAAATTAAAGACTTACTGGTACAACCTCTAAGAAAAACTCCAGATAAGGTCTCCTGGCCCGTAATTGTTTATTGTTATTGTTATTAACCCAACTCCTATGAAAAGCTGCCACAGCTCTGTTAACCTCAGGTCTGGGTTTAATTAATACCTCTGAAGGCTGAGCCCTCAGGCAACCTGTTGTCCGCCCCCACAACTGCACAGCCAGGCTCCTCCTCCTCCTCCTCCGACTCCGCTCACAGGGTCCTCTTCTTAGGCGGATCCTCCAGCTTCTGCCAATCACCGCTCTTCCAGCCCCCTTGGTAATCTCACGCGTCTCCTTTGACCCTTTTTTCTCTTTTTCCAGCTACCAAGTTACCCTTAAGAGTCTTCAAGAATCATGCCTCGGACGAGGGCTTTGAAATCTGAGGTGCCCAGAATTCCCTAGCAGCCCCCAATTCCGGCCCTACTTCCGGGGTCTCCTCTTGAGAACCTGCGGACATTTCTCAGGTGGCACAGCCGGTTGGATGGGTTGCCTGGTTTAGGGTTACAGAGTTTGGCACTGACTCCAGCCCCTCTCAGCTGCCCTCTTTAATTAATTAATTCCAATTAAAAAAATCTCAATTGGACCTCAGTGCATGCCTCTGAGGCACATGTCACATCAATTACAAACAAATTAACCCTACTACCTAATAGAGTGAATGAACCTCTTTGAAGACTCACACACAAGTGCAACCTAAGGGTCTTACAGCCCTCTGCTATAGACAGACCAGGAGGTCAAACCCTAAGGAGGAAGTTGCGCCCAGTTCCCTAAGGCCAGGCTTCCTCTCTGCTTTCCCTTAAATCGCAAGGAAGCTAAGGATTGCAGGTGGTGGCCTCATTTCTCTAGAGCAGCGCTTCTCAAACTGTGGATGCTAAGGACCCTTTCACAGGGGCCGCCTAAGACCACCTGAAAACATGGCTACTCACATTACGATTCATAACAGTAGCCAAATTACAGTTCTGAAGTAACAGCGAAAATAATTTTATGGTTGGGGGTCACCACAGCATGAGGAACTTCATTAAAGAGTTGCAGCATTAGAAAGGTTGAGAACCACTGCTCTAGGGCAAGACTATAAAGGCTCTCAAATTTAAAAGTCCACCTCTCCATTATGGGAACTGGCCATTTGACAGAGGTAAGGATGTATCTGCCCTCCCCGGCACCCCGCCCCCTCAAGACGGTGGTTCTCTGTGTAGTCCTGGCTGTCCTGGAACTCACTCTGTAGACCAGGGTGGCCTAGAGTTCACAGAGATCCTCCTGCCTCTGCTTCCCAAGTGCTGGACTTAAAGGTATGTGCCACCATTGTCCAGCAAGGTCAGGATGTATCTTTACTGTGTGCTTCAACACTAAAATGGATATTGAATTGGTTTATCCTTTTGTCATCATTATAGACCTTGCCTGGAGGGTAACGCTGAAGATGTTACTGACTGGGAGGAGAGCCGTAGGCAGAGATCCACCAGGTCAGAATCGGAGTCACCAGGTCAGAACCGGAGTCACAGATGATTATGAGCTGTCTGGGTCCTGGGAATCAAACCCAGTTTCTCTGGAAGAGGCCAGTACTCCTAAGGGCTGAGCCATCTCTCTACCTCCTACAAATATTTTTCCATCTGGGAAAAGTGAGTAGGCAGACTGAGATTCATCCTAAGCCTTTGCTTTACTAATACTGTCCTTTTTGCCTGACTGGAATGAAAAGAATACTAGTAGACCAGATAAACGTGCCTCTCCTTATCTACTTAGCTCATTTATTTATTGGCATGTGTTGACCGTTAATCACCGTTGGTCTTTTATGTCTGTCGGCATCCTGGCTGTCCATCTGAGTCCAAACTTTCAGAGGGCAGAGACCAGATCTGTTCAATTTGCTTTGTATGGTATCCAGCAAAGAGCTACAGGATGGGGTCAGAGAAGTTCTGGACTTGGACCCTGGACATCAGGTTCTAGCTCTGTCCATCTGATTTTTAAAATTAGGCCCTTATTTTAATTGGCTGTTAACAACATTAATATGGGACCAGGTGTGGTGGTGCACATTTTTAATCCCAGCATTCCAGAGGTGGAGACAGCTGGATCTCTATAAGTTTGGGGTCTGCCTGGTCCATACAGGGAATCTCAAGCCAGCCAGGACTACATAATGAGAGCTTGTTTCCATGAAAGGAATCAGGAGAGGCCTCTAGTCAGACATGGTGATGAATATCTGAAACTACAGTACTTGGGAGGTGGAGGCAAAGGATCAGAAGTTCAGGTCACTGTTGGCAACCTAGAGTTTCTGAGCCAGCGAGAGTTACGTAAGACCCTGTCCCATAAAAGCGGGATGGGTTTCTGACGGCTTTTGCTCACTGTCTTAAGGATAAAAAAATAGTGAAGAGTTTTCCAAGACCAAAAAACTCAGAATGAATATGTCTGAAGGTCTCCTGCAGTGACTGACAAGCTTGAGTGTGACCATTGGAGCAGGGGGGCCTTTCGACCAAGCTCTTCTTGTGGTTTGCAGGATTAGTAGCACTGGGAGGCAATCCCCTGCCTGTGATGAGTAAAGGGAAAAGAATAGAAGGAGAACACAGGAACTGGGCGCTCTAGCTGGATCTTGTTAGCTAGACTTGAATCCCAAACACTTGCAAAAACATGGGTCTGTAAAGGTTTCTAGAAGCAAATCTAGGGCTCAAGAGAGAGAAAGAAGGAAAAAAGTACAGAAGATACAGAGACAGAGCTAAAATTAGGATTCCTTTCCACTGTGTGTTGAAAGTACTAGCTTTCACTTATTCGGAATATGTGAGGGCTGGAGATATGGCTCAGGAGTTAAGAGCACTGGCTATTCTTCCAGAGGACTTAGGTTTAAGTCCTAGCACCCACATGGCTCACAACTGTCTGTAACTCCAGTTCCAGGGAATCTGGCATCCTCACACAGACGTACATACATGCAAAACACCAATGCACATAAAAATATTTTTTTTTTTTGAGAAAGAGGTTTTCTGTGCAGTTTTGGCTGTCTTGGAACTTACTCTGGAGACCAGACTGGCCTCAAACTCACAGAGATCCACTTGCCTCTGTCTCCCAAGTGCTAGAATTAAAGGCATCCGGCCAGTAAATCTTTTTCTTTTCTTTTTAAAGACGTTGTAACAGTTTTTAGAGTAGGGCTATCAAATCCTTCAGAGGACTAGCACAGTGGGAACTAGAGAACCTGGGTCTTGGTTTGGCTCTGCTGTCTACTGGATTGGGTAACTGGCTAAGCCATCAAAACATTCCTTGGCTTAAGTTTCTTTCATTGTGAATAATACCTGTTCTGTCTGCCCTTGCAGTTGTTGGAAGATCTGATGAGATAATGGATATAAACTCCCTGTAGGAACCACAGAGGCAGGTGAAATGGCTCATCCGGTAAAACAGCTCGTCCCCAAGCCAGAGGACCTGACTTCAGTGCATAGGACCATATGGTAGAGAGAACTGACTCTCATAAGTTGTCCTTTGTCACATGGAGTGGCCAACCACACACAAACAAACACAAATAACAAAAATGTAATAATTTTTCTAAAAAAATACACAAAGCACTGTTGAAATGGAAAGCTGAATTAATATAATACTGTGATTACTAGGGTCCATTCAAAGAGTTGGCTGGAGAGTCATAACATTTGGAAGGTCACCTCAATTTTTGGTCATCACTCTACACACCCATCATCCAAGCAGGACAACCTGACCAGCAGAGAGGGTAGAGGAATGGGTCAAGTGTCCAGGAAGACAGTCTGAGTTCACCAGATCCTGAGCTCATTCTTACAGTGAATTTCATTTTATTGTGTATGCTTCCTGTCTTCTGTTTGGCTTGAAGATGTTAGTATTTACCCACTGGAAGCACTCACTACTGAAGACCATGGCCCAAAGTTCCAAAACTCTGACCCCTGGGGCCTGGAGTCCAAGTATAATAAAATCCAAACATCTGATTCTGGAAGGATCCAAAGACAGAGTCAGCTCTTGGACCCTTTATTTATAAAGTTTCAATTTCTTTCTTAATGTTGTCCCAGACTCAGGTCATTTTATTCCCTGGAGGATTGGGTGGCCCAGGGTCACAGACGATGTACTGGGAGAAAAAGTTAGCTGCATCTATATGGAAACTGTTTCATGTTTGGGGGGGGGAGTCAGCTTTAGTGAAGAGCATTAATAATGTATGTGCTTAATGATAGAAGGAAGAAGACTTGAGAGAATGCTCAGAAGTTCAGAGCACTTGTTACTCTTACGGAGAACCTGGGTTCAGTTCCCAGCATCCACATGGTGGCCTCCAACCATCTATAACCCCAGTTCCAGGGGCTCCGACAGTCATAGGTTGCACGTACATGCATGCAGGCAAAACATGCAAAGACACAAAGTAAAATAAATAAATACAAAAAAGTAATGGAAGGAGTTCCAGTTAAGGCTTGGAGAACTTCAGGAAGCTTTGTTTCTGGTGGAAAAGGGCTCTCCTCACCTAGGAATGTCACCTTGGGTCTCCCCTGTGGAGCCTTCCCCTTGTCAAGTCATTTCCTCTCCTTGTACCCTAAGCACTTTCTATTGCAGACACTCGCTTGGCTCAGAGCTCGGATAAATGCTACCTTGTTAGCTAATAGTACCATTAATTATATTAATGATTAATAGCTAATTAGTCATAATGTGGTCATACTTCTAACAGTGGAGCCTTCCTTTCTTGCAGCAGTTCTGGGATTCCAGCACAGACACACACACACTTCCCTATTCCTGACTATGGGACAAGCGCCACAACCCATCTGTTTTGCTGACCATGATGGCAGTTTCTAAATTCCTCTAGTTGTTACCAGCTCTCTCATTTATCTGGAGAATGACTACTGCTTGTAAGTCTGTCGCTGCTTTTATTCCTGTTGTGTCACTCACTCTCTCCACTAGCAAGGTGGCCAGCACTTTTTTTAAAGTTTTGTTTTTAACGTATTCCATAAGTCAGAGACAGTTACTCCCAAATCTCACTGTGACCCACTTTTCCACTTTCTCCCCCTTATCACTTTTATCTTTCCCTATTTGGTGGGATCCCCAAACCCCTGGCCACAAACCCCTCACCTTCTGCATTTAGGCTTCCTTTTGTCAACCACGCCCCCCCACCCCAGCGCCCGGAAACGACGCGCATGCGCTGCCCACGCCTTTACCTGGGCGCTCGGGAGTGGGCGGAGTGGGCGCGGGCCGGGGGTGGAGCAGGCAGCCGGCGGTTATCTGCGCGGCTGAGCGTTCACACTGTGGCAGGAGGGAGAAAAGGTGCGCCCAGGCCGAGCCGAGGGCCGCGCATGCGCGCCGACCCCACAGCCGGGGATGGGGCGGGGGGGGGGGGGGGGAGGTGTCGGGATCCCGACCGCGCGGGGGGAAGGGGGGCGCGAGCGCGGGGGCGCGGGTACGCGCGCGCGGGCGCGCTCCCGCCGGCCTCCCTGCCCCCTCGCGCACACATCCCTCCAGCGCACCCCCCTCCCCCGCCGCCCGCCCCGCGGCCCCGCTCGGCCTCGCGCGCTCGGAAGGGAGTCGCGAGACGTCGGAGCGGCGGCCACGTAGCGCTGCGGCGGCGGCGGCCGAGGCCGGGTCTGAGGAGCGGCCCAGAGCGCAGACGTTGGGCAGGGGGAGGGGCCGGCCCGGCGGGCGGTGGGGACTGGAGCGACGCGGCGCGGCGACAGGCCCCCGCCGCAGGGATGGGCCGCCGAGGCGGCGGCGGCGGCGGCGGCCCGGGTGAGTAGGGGCCCTTTCCCCGCGCTCTCGCCCCCCGCCGCGGCGGCGCCGTGGCAGTCGCGTTTCCTCTGCGCCTGGCCGTGCTGGCGGGGCTGGCGGAGCCTGTGCTGAGGCAGCTGCGTGCGCTAGGCCGGAGCAGCCCCCATCCGGCGGGCAGGCCCCGGGCGCTGTGCGTCTGCGGCTCCCGGCTTGGCCGGGGGTGCCGGCTCCTTACCCCCCGCCCCCTCCCTTCGGGACCCTCGCTTGGTTGCAGTTTTGCAGCGAGCGGGCTCGCCTTGAGGCCTGACGGGGTGGCCGGGGTGCACGGGTTAGCGGGCGGAGGGGAGCGTTCTCCTGCCCTGCAGCTGGTGTCTTGCACCCACTACCTCCCCTGCCCTGCGGTTGCGCCCAAACCTCCAGCCCTCTGGAGTATTGTGGCACTAGAAGATAACACGCATGTGATGTATGTACACTCGCCACCGGCAGCACCACACTCAACCCAGTGGGCGATGCAGACCTTTCTCCACCCCCACTTCGTCCTCCCCTCCAATCAGGCTCTGCTGAAGAGTCTCAGGTCTGAGACACCGAAGAGAGTGACACCCTGTTACATCTCTACGAAACATGATCATTGTCGAGGGATGTCTCCGGGAGAAATGATTAGATGTCCCTGCCTCGCCCTGATGTCAGTCTTGGAGATTTAAGATCCCATATGCTCCTCTTTGAAGCGGGCCAGTCTTTGATTACATCTAGCTCATCCCTCCCCCAACAACAATATCACGAACACGCGCGAGCACACACATATGCACACGCACACTAGCGCACTTCCTGATTACAGAACGGCCCCTGTCACCGCGGATCCATTGTCAGAAATGGCTTATGCCCATCAAAGGAATGTGCCTTTGGAGGGAGATGTTTTCCACAACCAAGCTACAGGATGTTCCTCTGTCAACCACTCTTTGGTTGCCCCTGGATCCTGCCCATGTTTAAGCATCGTCGTGGTGTTTCCCTTATATGCCTTGCCAGCACACTCTCAGTAGCACCTGAACGGTGCTCTCCCGCCCCCCCCCCCAGTTAATTAGATATTACCGCACACAGTAATTTCGTCGTTTTTTTGTTGTTGCAACGTTTAACGTAACAAGGCATAGCCTGTGTAAGTAGTGTGATCTTTTGGGATGAAGGTCTATATACTCTTTTTTTCCAGAGGACAGTCGGATCCGTATTGTTCTGAGACAGGCAAAGAGCACATGCTTTGTTGACAGCATGTATGTTGGCTTAGGAAAGGAACGTGTGCTGTGGGCTGAGGCAGTTGATGTTCCCCAGAGGGGCTGGTCTGTGGTGGGTACGTCGCCTTGTGTCAACGGCTTATTTGTATCGCCACTGCGCACATGTGTTCACACAGATACTGTCGTTAGTATAAAAGATTCACCGCTAAGTTTTGTGATCCTAAACTCTTTACTGGGGCGGTGGAAGTCTTCAGGGCCCTCTCTGCAGTGAAACAATATGTAACAGGGTTTTGTATGCAACTAAACAGTCATCTTGAAGCTGGTACTGGAGCCTCAAGTTAAGATCCGCGTTATGCAAAAGTGAAAGCAGTTTGAGTTTGTGTTTTGTTTCTGTTGAGCATTAGACTTACTTTGGCTCTGGACTAAAGAACAAAGGAGCTTTCATATGTATCATTGTCAGTTTTTAAATTTTATTTGTATGCATACTTTACTTGCATGTATGTGTACCACATGTGTGCCTGGTGAAAGAGGGGGGTGGAAGCCCTGGAACTATAGAGTTAGGCATGGTTGTGAGTCACCATGTAGGTGCTGGGAATAGAACCTGGGTCCTCTGTAAGAGCAACAAGTGCTCTTAACTACTGAGCCATCTCTCCAGGTGGTTTATTATTGTGATTTGTTCTTTGGGTAAATAAGGGCAGTTAGGAATTACAAGATATTTTCTTCCTCTGTCTTCCTGTGAAGAGCGAGATGGGTAAGAATCATTCAGAAGAAGTTAAAACTAGAGATAAAATAATCTAGAGTTGACCAATTGATCCTTTATCTTCATGGCATAGTCTGAATGTAGCAAATGTAGTCAAGTGTGTAGTATGTTCTGTAGTGGCCATATGGGACTATACGGTACTTAAAGACTGAGGCTGATCTCTTTGTTGCTCCATGGTAGAGCACCTGCTCAGGGTTGAGGATTTTTTTTTCCAGCTTTGCTAAGTTTGATTTCATGGTGCCATCAAAACCATCCATTTTAATGGGAAAATTTTGGTTATAGTTGGAAAATTTGCTCCCCACATTCGGAATCTAGCGCTGAGGATGAACTTTGCACTATTCTGTCAATAAGCAGTTGGTAAATGTCAGTTTGTGTGTGTGTTTAAATTACTCTGCATTCCGCTTTTGTCTTTGGATCGTAATTCAACCAAGAGACATATGTTCCAGCTTACAATAGTGGGCGATAGGCAGTGATAATAACCACATTCCCAGGTCTCTAGGAGCATACAGTTTTCACTTTAAAAAAAATAATAATTAGGGTTCTGAGAGCTTAAGGAATTCCTGGTATTAACTAGCATTTTGAAAGGCAAGAGAGGCTTGAAATCTTGCACAGAACCTGTTCCACACACCTGGAGGATAGCATTTATTCTAATAATTATTCAGTGTACTCTGTGATGTTTGAAAATATGCTGAGGCTGCATATGTTGCATTTTTATTACCTAATGTGCATGACTGAAGTGACTTATATTACAGGTTATATTTTTTGTTGTTGGTGGCACGCCTGTAGTTTTTAATCATCTGAATTATTTGCCTATCCTACTATCCTAAACTCAAAGGACTTCAAAGTTTCAAATATGTTAAATCGCCCCCCCCCCCCCATCAGTGAATGTAATGTTAGTGTTAGGGGAGGACCACTGGAATCTCAGGGAGCAGTTTAGTTTTGCAGCACTTATTCTAACCAGTCACTTTCCTAAGTCACCCACACACCAGGGAGCAGCTGGTCAGGTAACATTTAGGACTATGAGGACAGCATCCTCTCTGCTTGCCAGGTTCAGGTCATGGACGCAGGGAAACAATTGCTTAGCACAGCAATGAGAAAGACAGAGGAGTAGTGATGCCAACAGCTCACCCTCATTAGGACCAGCAGCTTCGGTTTCTTCAGCACTTCTCTTCAGACAGCCTTCCCTAGGAGGTTTCAGACCAGCAGCTCCTCTCTGCAACTGGTGCCTCAAGATCTGCTTCCAGACACCCAGAGCGTTCCCATTTGTGCACTAAGTTTGGGGAGTAAGCTTGTAGTGTGGTAAGAAAATACTTTTTAAGTCTGTATTATACATACTACGTGTGTGTGTGTGTGTGTGTGTGTGTGTGTGTATAGATTAGTAGGATGTGACTTTGGTTTTACATGTCTGAAGCCTATTGAACTAAAGTCTAATGCAAACTATATTTACCTTTGTCTCTTTTCTCACAGGTTTTTCATGATTTTACCAAAATTGAGATTATATGCTTGAGTTCTTTCCCTAGTTCTAAAAAGTCAGTTGAAAGATAGCCAGAAGGGGGGGGGGGGAGTGAATTGTCTTGGAGTTTGAACAGTCTTTGAAACTAGTTCTTCTGGAGTAGGTGACTGCGTGTCCTTGGTAATTCCTGGGTTGTGTGCCACTGTTTTAGGTGTTTCTCTTAGCTCTTGTTTTTGGGACTGGACACCTGTGTGCTGACTTTGATGGGGTGACCTGGGACTGTGGTGATTTTAGCTAAAGGAAGAGTTCCTTGGAACCTGGCAGGCGAGGCTGACCTTCCAGTCCCACTGTTTGCTGGCTTATGGCATTGGACTAATCACCTTGATTCTTTGTGCCTCAGTTTCCTCGTAAGTACAATGAGATTCTTGTGAGGATTAGAGATCAAGTATGCAAATTCCCAGCACAGTTCCTGGCCTGTGTGCACATCAGGAACTCAGTGAGTAGTGGGATTCGGAGCTTGCCAGAGTGGAGACCATTGTAACATATGACCACACTTAGAGGTTTGATGTATTTCTTTGTTTATTCAGATTTAGGATGAAAAAATTGCCCAACTATTTGACATGGAGCTGGACTGCAACTTGCAGGTTTAACATGATTAGTATAAAGTTGATTTGTTTGTGTCAAACTTGGTAGAGACAATAAAAACCTAGCTCTGAATTCTGCAACATTACCCCACAGGCTGTGCTTGTTTTTAAGTTTGTCCAGAGCTTATGTGGTGAAAAGGGTGTTTTCAGACATTAACATATCTCAATGAGTTCTGTGTCCAGAGTCACATGCAAAACCTTGTGTAGATTCTCATGGTTAGCACAAGCCATCAAGTGCTTGGTAGAGTCAGTGGAGATATCAGATGCTTATTTATACGGCAGTTATGCTTGACTCTAAAAAATACTTGTGAATATTTTGTGAGAATACTTGTGAGAATTCCCAATGCTCATCTGATTTTTTTGATCATGAGCTGTCAGTAGGGCTATTGGTTTGAATGTGCTTTATACATATTTGCTTTGGTGGGGGAAGAAACGAGAGGTAAGGTCTTGTACCTGTTAAATTTAATTAATGGTTTGCTTTTGATCTATAGATTGTGTGGAGCCTTGCTTATTAGTCAAAAAGGCAAGTTTATGGCAAAATATGACATCTTGTTTTCTTTTAAAGCTAGAGATTGACTGCTTTGAAAAATAGGTTCAGCCAGACGGTAGTGGTGCACACTTTAATCCCAGTGCTGGGGAGGAGGAGGCAGTTGGATCTTTGAGTTTGAGGTCAGCCTGGTTTACAGAGTGAGAAACCCTGTCTCTAAAAAAGAAAAGAAAAGAAAGAAAGGAAAAAAGAAAAATAGGTTCAGTTAAGGTCATATATATGCAGTATTATTTGATGCATATAACTTTTAAAATAGTTTGGCTACTGTAAAGTAAATTAACTCCTGTCTTTTTTCCCCCAGTATAGCATTGTGGTAAGTCTGTGAGCCTACAATAGTTCAGATAAGGAAGATACATATCAGCAGTGTTCTAGGATTGACCTCAAGAGAATCTGCTAATCCTGATTTTCTTTATTATTGAGCTGCCTAGTGACTTGCCTCGTGGTGGAATCAGTCATTAACTTTAAATTATGATAAAGAGGGATTGGCAAACAATGGTCGTTGACTTGTCATAGATTTTGCACTGAGACAAAGTTACCCTTGGCCAGAGTATAGAATGGTAATAACACTAACATTGTGTGCCGGGAATGAAAGAGCAAACAAAATAGGAGGGGGCTACACGTTCTAGTCCATTGTAATAGATTTTGCTGAGTAAATTTTTTTTCTGGAAGGGATGCTTTCTTTTAACAAACACTGCTTTTCCTGAGTAAGTAAATCAAATGGTTTAGCTGAAAGCTAGTCTTCGAGGCCCCACCCCCACCCCTTTCACAAAACCATGAACGGGTGAGATTTTGGTCTTTACTGTGCATGTGACATCAGAAAGTTAAGCCAAGACATAGTGTCAACTGTGAGAGTAGATTTTTAAGTGTATCTCTGCCTCTCAGCTTTGGAATTTAGAATCTTCCAGGTTGGTGTTGGAACAGAACGTTTTACTTATACTGTGTGACCTAGAAAATGAGAAGACCTGAATGACTTTTCTCTTCAAAGTGTATCACTCTAACACA